ATATATATATATATATATATATATATATATATATATAAATATAACAAAAGAAAAACAGTTCACACAACTTTACATTTACTAAATCTAGTTTCAGTCGAATTTCTTAACCGCACGTAATGAGAAGCCTACACTGAAAAAAAATACTTAAACATTTATTTGTGGGATAAAAGTTTACTTTGCAGAAATAAATTTTGTGTTTCACTGAAATAAATTTTATTTTGCAAAAATAAACTTTATATCTTATAAATAAATTTTCATGTACCTTTTCCGAATGTACACTGTGAAAAAAAGTATCTGTGATTGTACTCACATAGTGAAAGAATTATAATCAAGAGAAACATTTTCGTGTATTAAATGTTACTATATATTACTTTCGTGTATTAAGTGTTACTATATAGTATTAATGATAATAATGCTTGCATTTATCTGCGCGATAAAAATTTATTTCACAGAGACAAATCTCATTTCACAAAAATAAAATTCATTTCACAGAAATAAACATATGTCGCAAATATATTTTCAAATTTTTTTCTTAGAGTGCTATTTTTTGTTAGAATAACGAGAAGATATAGTTGGAAAATAAGGACAATTTTTGTTGAGATTAACTACTTTTTCTCTCAGAATGTATATATTTGTGCAGTTATAGATACTTCGAAGTAATGTCGTCGCTTCCTCCAAATAATCAACACAGTCATCATGCACAAATACATGAAAATATTACGCGTCGAATTGAGAAATTCGATTGTAACTAGACCTAGTGAATGTTAAAGCTATTACGCCGCATTGTGCAGCTTAGACTCGGGCCAAAAGTTGTTGTTCCGATCAGACGATATCCGTCGACGTTCGCGATCGTTAACCAGCGCCCAGCCGTTCCCTCGCTCATTAAGTATGACCTTTGACAAATGCATTTTTCACGATCTCGCTAGAGTTCGTTCCGCGTTGAATTTCATCGCGTGACACACATATATGTGCTCGACGCGAAGAGAAAGGTACAAAAGTCAATAATTGCCCGTCCTCGCGTTCAATGGCGAGTAACGAGTATGCTAAATGGAGTAATTTTCGTTGCACAATAACGTGTGCGAAGTAGTTTTATTTCACGGCGCGCTGCTGCGACTCCGCGAATGGCCGACGAGTGTCGATCTATACATCGCGTGTTTTGCGTTAAGTTTCGCGTTATTGACTTGTCGATAGTGTCTCATTCACCGCGGCGCATTCGATGCTCCGTTCGAAAGCGCGTTTCGATCGTGCAGTTTACGGGCAAAATCTATTTCTCTCAAATACAGATTGCGTTTTATATAGAGCGCGCGCGCGCGAGTTCCATTTTTTTTCTCTTCCCTCCTCCCCCGACACGGCGTATTACGTGATCGAGAAGTGAGTTCTCGCCATTAAAGGGTTAAATCTGCGTTTCGTGTCGTAATTGAGAACCGCCAAGTGCACTCCGTTAACGAGCGTAATTGTTCTCGGATACAAGGGAATTTAATTACACGGCACCTTCCTGCACGCTGAGTGCAGTGCAAGCGTATCTCGTATTAATGAGCGACGATCGCGAAGGTGAGTAATTACGCAAAAGAACGGCCGCGGTGTATCAACAAGCGTGCTTGTTCAACTTGATTCCACATCATTTGTTTACAAGCAAACGATCAAACGTGCGCTCACGCGCTGCGTGGATTAATTAGTCGGTCACTCGGATGAGCTGTTCTTCGCCGATAATACCAATTCGTTGCGATTATGCGTGACTGCGGAAATTCCGCTGTGCGTATCGAAATCCTCCTCCAACGAGGCCGACAGTCGACAATCGACACGAATTCGAGCAAGATTTCGGAGCAGCCGGTAGAGCTCGGAATTTGCGCACGCGTATATTGCGAAATCCGCTCGGGCTTGGAGAAATGCGATAAAATAAAATTACGCCATTAATAAACACACTGAAAGAAAAAATGTTGAAGAAATAAAAAAAATACTTATTCGGTGGGTATTAGTGACATATTTACTTGCACTGAGAAAAAGTTCGTTTGTGGAATATAAAATTTGTTTTTTGTAAAATAAAATTCATTTTCGCGTAACGTAATTTTTATGTCCTAATAAAATAAATTTTTAAATATTTTTTTTCTCAGTATAATATAAAACACATTTTTCAGATAAGAAAATACATATTTCCTTAGATTCTTTAGTTTTTTTTCATGGAAGCAATCGTTTATTCTATTTAAATAAAAGAATTTAGATTCAAATAAATATCAGTATCCACAGAATATAAATATTTTTTTATTTCTTTACGTTTTTTCAGTGTAATGATTGCAGATTAGTTTCGAGAGGAATATAGAATTAATCTGTGATATTGTCAAGGAATAAATAAATGAAATAAAATGAATTAATAAGATAAAATCTTTTATCATCAGCCTCGTGTTCGACAAGGAGCACTTCAACACGCGAAGTTTTCGTTATTCCCGCAAAAAATTCAAGCTACCGGCTCTGTCTCACAGTACGCAATTTCGCACGGTAAGATACGTGACATTCGCGATATCCGCGGGAACCAATCGGGAGAATCGATTTCGGCGGAGCGCCGGCGGCGCGTTTCCGCCGTTGTGTTTACATCTGTGTATATAAACGAAGCAACGCACTTACCACACGTTCGGGTCACCCGGGAAGCAAGGCCCGTTGCTCCCTCTCCCTCGTTCTATCTGGCCTCTTGTGTCCTCCTCTGTCTCGTTCTCTCGCTGATATCCGATAAAACAGTATCAATTTATCGCGTCTCTTCCCGCGTGCGCGTGTTTACGCTGGCCTCTCCCCCTTGCCCCTCGGTCTTGTCGTCTCACGTTCCTCTGCTCCCTGGTCCTCCCGCCAACTCGTCAATGAATAATCACGCACCGCGTGTTCCTGCTCCTGCGACTCCTGCCGGTCCCGCACTTTCTCACGGAATAACCGAAGAAGAACGAGGCGCAGCGAGGAAGCGCTCAAATGTGTCACACTCGCGCACAGAGTCTTCCTTCACGGTTGCACACGCTTTTGGTCAGTGGTCACGTGTCGCTGGGATCAGTCTCGCGCCGCCGTCTCTCTTCTGTGTCTTCACGGTCTCACTCGAATCGTCGAACAAACGTCACTTTCTCTCCTCAGCCTGTCAAACGAGCGACGATCTGCTCTCGCGCGCGCGCGCGCGCTCCCGATTACTTCTGTCTCTCAATTGCACGACTGTACGACTGTCCAGTCGACTCGCTCAATTTTCGTTTACATTTCAGTGTATTTATGTGCACGACGTATCTCGCTCGCGCACACACACCTCTCCTCGTCTAGAGTCAACATTCGACGGAACAACAAGAGCGTTCGCTCACACTGTGCGAGTCGCGTACCCCTCTTCTCTTCTCTTCCCTCCGGACTGTTTTCGCCGCGTCGCGGCTCGCACCTGTTCGACTGACAGATCGGCGTCGTTGCCGATCGGCGTGTCCTCGTGGCCGACGCCACACCGTCGTGCACTTTCACGAGTCGCGCGCGAGTCGCTGCTCCGACTCCGAGCGAGACACCAGTACGGCGAACACGAGAGTGAGAGAAAGAGAATCCCTTCGATCTCCTCTTCGCGAGAGCGATCGCGCGGCACAATCGCTCGGCGCAATCCGTTGAAATTCGCGCCGACCGGAAGAGGCGCTTCCGCTGATCGATCGATCACGATCCCTCGATCGATTCTCGCGCTCTTCGTTGTTCTCCTCTCTCACTCCTCGGGACGTTCACACAGGATCCAGCACGAGCCCGCGACGTTTCATGGTTTCACGCTGTTTGCAAAAAGAGAAATTCGCAAAGCAGCGATCTTCTCTCCTCTCTTTCTTTTCCTTCGGGCAAATGCACGCGCGCGTGTGTGTGTGTGTACAGCGCGAGGTACTCGCGATTGATATGTCGCCAAGAGATTATCCTCCTCGATGAAAACACACACGGTCGAGGAGCTTTCGAAAATGCCGAGTGTCGCGTTTGCGTGGAGCTGCCTTCCGTTCAGTGCAGGCGTCGAGTGGCGACTGTCGTTTCTTCCAACAGTCGGCCTGCCTCCGGCCTGTCCCTCCCCTCTCCTCGCGGCCATCGGGAACCGACTACACAGTCCACGGATTTATGCTATTACCGCACCATGTACCACCCCCTACGAGCCGGTGTACGCTCTCCAGCCACCCGTTGGTCTCCCTTCTTTTTTTCGAATTCCGTGCTTTTCCCGAGTTCTCTCCGACGAAGCCGCTATAGTCAGCCCGGCGAAACGGGATGTTTCTCGATGAAAAGGTCCCTTTCCTCCTCGAGCTATGGTGATGGGAAACGAGCGTGGAGTGCGGCAGAAGATCTATAAAATGGAAATTAAGCGCGAGGTTAATGTCGAGTCGCAATCGTTATGCCGGATGACGAAACAGAGCAACGCATTGCTGCAAGTGAAAGCATGACATTAGATTTGTTGAAAGCGCAGATCAACGGATTTTCCCCAGCGCTCCCTGCCGTTTCGGTGCCGTTTACGATCCGGTGTGTACGATTCATCAAAGTGTCTCCCTCTCGAAGGGTCCACCCTCCATCCCCATAAACACGAATATTCCCGCGAAAAGGGTCAGCATCGTGACCCTTTAAAGGACGCATCACCGGCTCGTGCACGTGCGATGCGGAGATCTGACACGTGGACCCGGCATTGGTGGTTTCCTGTCGGAAGCGGAAATCCATAAAAGGCCTCAATATAAAAATAATTCTTTTCTTTTAATATTGGCGCGGGTGAAACAATCGCGTGGTAAAATATCACGTGCCACGGTGACCATCCTTTCACCCCTGTGAACACCCCCGAGAATTCACCGCTGCACGTGCCTTTTTTCTTACAGAGGACCTCCACTTTACAACACGCTTATGTGTAGAATAAAAACAATAGAAACGTGTAAAGTGAAGTAGAAACGTGTAGAAAAACGAAAAATGTTACAAAGTCGAATTTTATGAAAATAAAAACGAGAGATTCGCGGATTCGAATTTTCTGGAATTCCAGGCGACCACGTGAGTAATGAGACTGCAGTTTCAAAAAGGCACACTCTCTGTTTCTCCAAAAATTCGTTGAAACAATTTCAAATACTCCCAAATAAACATATGAAATGATTTTTTCCGCAATTAAAAATTAACTGAGATAATAACGTTAAAATAATGCTTGTAGCAGTGATATAAGGTAGATTAGCTCAGGTTTTTGGGGCGAGATGAAGAGCGAAATCTTGTTGATACTGAACGTATAAAAACAAGTATAACAAATAGATTTTATAATAAACAGATCTTATAAAAAACCGAGTATAAAAGAGATAACTTTGTATTACTGATAATTGTTTTTCTATTACTTAATTTATGAAATGTGTTATTTGAATCTATTTCAATTTTTTCATGCAGACTTTTCTGCAAAACGAGTATATGTCTAGCAACTTTGCGTAGAGTTACAAACATTCTCTTACTGAGTTACAAACATTCTGTTCTCAATGTAAGGGTCTTTGCTAATCTTTGTAAAATATCTATTTTCAGTACATGGTAAGCCCATTTATTTAGAAAGGCAAAACATTTAAATAACGACTATGAAAGATAAATATTTACGTTAATATATACGATCCAAGTTACACACACACACACACACACACACACATATCACTGTTATCAAGAATATAGAAACATAAATACTTGAGCTCAAGTACGCGTTCGTATCACTTAAACATTATCTCAGTTAATTTTAAATTATGCCAAAGAGAACTTTTTAGATGTTCATTTGGGAGCATTTGGAAGGACGGCCCTTTTCTACCGAACTATATTTAGTAATAATGGTAAAGACGAGACTGCACGTTTTTCTCGAATAAAGCGTGCGCAGATTAGCGAGGGAGGAAAAACAATTACAGGATCGGTGCTCAGGTGGTGTGTGCAGGGCGCAATGGCGGCGTTCGAAACGCGCCATCCTTCTCTTTCTTTTTTTTTTGCATATCTGGACATTTACAAGCTACTCCGTTCGGGACACGCGTCGCCGTAGCCCTCTCTATAATAAATCCGTCTATGCGCGTGTGTATCATGCGGCGCCGCGAACTCCGCGGCCCCTCCGGAATAAATCAACCGAGGAAAACCTGCCGGAAGGTATTAACGTCGCGGGGGAACAGAGGGGGAGCTCTTCGCGTCCGAGAGGGTTAAGCCGGCGCCCTTATCGCGCGTCCCTGAAACGCCGCGTGGTCCCGGGGGGATCTTCTTGTCCCGCTTGATCCTGCCTGACGCGGCCGATCCGCCGGCAATCCTGCCGCTTGCACGACGCCGCGCAATGTGGGCGAAGAAGGAGGATAAGGGCTGCGGAGAGGATGGCGAGGACGCGGCAGGGGGCCCTTATCGGGGGTCGCGCATGACGAGACAAGCTAATTGTGTTATCAGCGTGCAACGGACGCCGCCGCCCCCGCCGCAGCTCTCAAGCTGTCGCCCTTTCAGCGTGCTGTACACGCGTGTTTGTTTTCTGGACGGTACTGCAGCTGCAGCTTCTGCTGCAGTCGTCGACGAGAACAACGTGACTTCTCGCGCTGTAATGTGCCGCACAATCTAAGTTCATGAAATAGTTATCTTGAAACCTCGATTTATTTCCCGATAGTTCGTCCCGGATCTGAACACGTATCCGGATAGATATCATAAATATCTAACTCAACAAATATCGTTAATGCATGACAAATATTGTAAGCTTTTACATGATAATCCTCTCTAACTCGTAAACACCCTCGAACAATTATCAAACTTCCCGTAGAAATTTAAGAAACAATTGTTTAAGTATATGTTGGCCCGAGTTTTATGCTTGACAAATGCTGTAAGTTTCCAAATGATAATCCTAACTCACACATATATATATATATATATATATATATATATATATATATATATA